TTTAAGAAGCAGATCATCGGGTCTTCTGAGGTGCCCTCTACCCACTCAAATCACCAGCCTTCCTGTTAACAAGCTCGGTAACTGTTTGCACCAACCAAGGACTCCTATCTAGCTAGCTATTTGTTAATTATGTATCTCCCCCTATTAAAGACTTTGTGAACCCTGTTCACTGTTACATCCTATGCCAAAATAGTTCTTAGCACCCTCCAGATGAACAATAATTACATTATGATTAAATGGCCTCTTGTGACCTTAATTCAAATCTCTTTAACGCCTCTAAAAAAATGTTCCAACTTTCATAACGTGGGCATTTATATATCTATTCATCTGTTTCTTCAAATAATCTATGTGAAGGAAAAAGTGTTTTTATGAACCTCTGAAATCCTATTTTCTCTTCCTTTTCTTTAAAATAGCATGGCTCGATTGACTAAGTATTATATAGACAACACATACACACAGAAATGAAAAAAGAACCAATGCCTAGTCTATGTCTCAAACTGAGAGAAGTCATTTTCAAATCCTAAACGGCCACTGATGGTGTCTATTCTTGTGACTTTACTTTCAATAAATGGAAAATATCTACTTTATTAGATATTTTATTAGATATTAGATATTAGAACTGGCAGGAATTTAAATATCTAAATTTATTTCATTATATTAATACTGTGATTTCTTATTGACTTAATAAGGGTAGGCTAAATCTGAATGGATACTAAAAGCACTTAGCTGCCAATAATCGATTCATACAAATAAATATATTTTAGAGTAAGCTATGCATTCATTCAACCTACCTTTGCATTAACCACATTTTAGGCAGCATGCTAAGGATGCAGAAATCATTTACTGCTCAGTTTCTACTAAAGCACATTGGCAGAAACAGAGCAGTAAATTAATATTTTTCCCAATAATTTTGACAAATGACAATTCTACTGTAGAGCAACAGCCAGCGCATGCAGAGTAGCATGAGAGAAGATACAAGGCTGCTAATGGACAGGTTGGGAAGAGTTTATAAGTGATACTGTAACACCTGCAGTGAATTTTGAAGAGAATTCAATAGTAGGCAAAAGAAGAGGGGCTAGGGAGTCCCAAAGGAGCCCTGGTGGCATACTGGCTACTCGTTGGGCTGTTAACTGCAAGATCAGCAGTTCAAAAACACTAGCCACTCCCCAGGAAAAAGATGGGGCTTTCTACTCCCGTAGAGTTACTGTCTCAGAAACTCACAAGAGCAGTTTTATCCTGGCCCACAAAGTCAGATTCGGCATCAACTCTATGGCGGTGAGTTTGAGTTTTTGAAGGGAGTCCCAAACAAAGGAAATTCTGAATGTAAAGGCACGGTGGCTAAAAGTGGGTAAATATGCCAGTACCACAAACACAAAGGGATGATTGAAGAGATGAGGCCGAAAATGTGTATAGGATGTAGGTTAGTAGGTATTAAGGGATTCTAATTTTATCTTATAGGGTCACAGATCTGAGAAGAAGATCTACACACTCCTGAGAATTCATGCACATATCCTAGAGGCTATGAATTTTTTCTAAAATAAAGTCAAATGAATAACATGGAATATATCGATAAATTAAAAATATTCTGCATCATTTGAATGACTCCCTTATAATTATATACTGCCATAAGATTTCAGTACATTTGTGCTTGGGATTGTCCAAGTGACACCATTTTAACTGGTGCAGGTTAATGAAAAGGAACAAGAGACTACTATAGGTAAGTGAAGCCAATGGTCAAGTCAAATTAAATGAAGTCAAGACACATTTACCAAAGAAAGGCTTTGTAGTGACTTAAACAAAGAAACAAGATAAGATCATTGAGTAATCTAACAACCCAAGGCTATATGGGCAGGCCTTACTCTAAGGTAGCTCTTAATGTCCAAAAAATAATCTCATTAGTCACAAAGAATAAGTATTCATTTGAATTCTAGTGTCCTTAAAGTTTTGCTTCATTTAATTTAGAAATGTTTGAATATTATAGCTGCATAAAAGCTGTAAAACAAGGCATTTATACCTAATTTTTAATTTACATATATTTACCTTAATGAAAATGTTCTAAGTGGGTGTTAACAAACCCAGGGACAAGGGAACAACAAATGATCTAAAATCAATGGCAAGGAGGGTGTAGGAGGCCTGGTAGCGCTTGATCAAAGGCAATGTAACAGAGTAATTACTGAAACCCAAATAATGGCTAAACATGATAGTGGGACAAGAGGAAAGTAAAAGGAAATAGAAGAAAGAACCAGGAGGCAAAGGGCATTTATAGAGGTCTAGATAAAGGCATGTACATATGTAAATATATTTATATATGATAATGTGCATATAAGTTTAGTAGAAGGTAGCAGATGGACATTGGGCCTCTACTCAAGTACTCCCTCAACGCAAGAACACTTTGTTCTATTAAACTGGCATTCCATGATGCTCACATTCCCAACAGGATCACTGAAGACAAAAGTGGGTGCATAAGCAAATGTGGTAAAGAAAGCTGATGGTGCCCGGCTACCAAAAGATATAGCATGTGAGGTCTTAAACACTTGAAGATAAACAAGTGGCCATCTAGCTGAGAAGCAACAAAGCCCATAGAAGCACACCAGCCTGTGTGATCATGAGGTTTTGATGGGATCAATTATCAGGCATCAAAGACCCAGAACAAAAAAGCATATCGTTGTGAATGAGGGGGAGTGCAGAGTAGACACCCAAAGCCTATCTGTAGGCAACTGGACATCCCCTTACAGAAGGGTCATGGGGAGGAAACTAGCCAGTCAGGGTGCAGTGTAGCACTGATGAAACATACAACTTTCCTCTAGTTCTTTCATGCTTCCCCCTGCCCCACTATCATGACCCCAATTCTACCTTACAAATCTGGCTAGACCAGAGCATGTACATGGGTACAGATAAGAGCTCGAAACACAGGGAATCCAGGACAGATAACCTGCCCTCCCCCCTCCCCATGACCAATATTGAGAGTAGCCATACCAGGAGGGGAAGGTGAAGGTGGGGAAGACAGGGGGAACCTATCACAATGATCTACATATAATCTCCTCCAAAGGGAAAGGACAACACAAAAGTGGGTGAAGGGAGACATCGGTCAGTGTAAGACATGAAAAAATAATAATTTCTAAATTATCAAGGGTTCATAAGGGAGGGAAAAAATGAGAAGCTGATACCAAGGGCTCAAGTAGAAAGAAAATGTTTTTAAAATGATGATGGCAACAAATGTGCAAATGTGCTTGACATGATGGATGTACATATGGAGTGTGAAAGAGTTGTACAAGCCCCCAATACATTTTTTTTAAAAAAAGAAAGAAAATGTTGCAAGTTAAGTGTAGAGGCACCTGAGTACCTACTGGTGTTGGAGAAAATCTGTTATGGATGATTGGGAGGCAGTGAGAGATCTTAATAGGGAAATAATAGATTTGTGCTTTAGGAAAATTACTGATGGCAGGGTCTTAAAAAAACACATTGCCATTGAGTCTATTACGACTCACAGCGATACTAGAAAACAGAACTGTCCTGCATGTTTCTGAGATTGGAAAGCCTTATCTTTCTTCTGAGGAATGGCTGGTGGTTTTGAACTGCTGATCTTGCGGCTAGCAGCCCAACAAGTAACCCAGAACTTCACTCAGGCTCCTTTGACAGAAGAGTGGACAGTTGGAATTAAAAGTACTTAAGACAGAGCCGTGATGGTGCTATTAGGTAAGTGTTGAACTGCTAACCTCAAGGTCAGTGGTTCAAACCCACAAGCTGCTCTGTGCGAGAAAGCTGAGGCTAGTTGCTGCCTTAAAGATTTACGACTTTGGAAACTCTAAGATTGCTCTGAGTCAGAATCAACTCCACAGCACACAAGGGTAGTTAGTGGGTTGACAGAAGGAGTTTTCAGACAGACAGAATAAGTAGTTAGTAGGCTGCTTAAAAGTCTGATAAAAGGATGAGGCCCTAACCTACATAGGGAAAATGGAGATGAGACAGATGAAAGCAAGAATCAAGAGTAAGATTCAGACCACAGAAGACAAGTGGGGGTGGAGAGGAAGGAGGGGAGAGAGCGAGAGAGCGAGAGAGCGAGAGAGCGAGAGAGAGAGAGAGAGAGAGAGAGAGACAAGAGAGATGATGATGAATCCAATCTAGTAATGATTTGAATTTCATTTCAACTAAAGAAAATTCTGTTATCTTTTCTGGGTCCCAGTTTCTCAGTGACAGCTGCATTCAGGAATTAGCAAATTGACTATTGTAGCACTCTCTAAAAATATACAAAGTACTCTATAATATGCTATAAATAAGTCATGAAAAATCAGCATAAGCCTAGGCCCTGAAGGAAATGCTGGAGATATGGCAGTTTTACTAAGCACTTACATTGTGACTAGACCAGACACACTAACCCAGTCCTGTCCTTACTGCTCCACCAATCAGATGCCATCAAAATCCCTCTTTGGCTATCCCTCCTCGGTTGGGTATCTATGAACAAGAAGCAGCACGCCAAGTTCCCGTGGGAGAGGCAAAGCCATCACTTCAAGGGCCTTGCCACAACAATGGGGCACACCTGGTACATGAAATTTCAGTGTGATGAGATCTTTGAACATACAGGCAGCGTTAATCAACAAGGTATCAATTACCTTTGACTTAAAAGAATCAAAGTGGACTATCTTAAGGACAGTGCAGTAAAAAATGTAAACTTTTTTTTTAAATGTAAGCATTTCCTATTTCATTCCCTTTAAGGAAAACTGGAGGCCAGAGGAAGGAAAATGCAACTATTATCGAAAAACCAGCCAGCATTCCCGCAGGCCACAAACGGGAGCGGAGGGGGGAGGGAGGGACGCGTGGGGGCCAGGAAGGGCTCTGGAAAGGGTAATTTGAGTAATTCAATCCTAGTTTAGGGGGGAAACCAGCATCTTCCATCGCTAACTCATAAAACAAAAGCATCATGTTTGTATTCCCAAAACGTTGAACCCTCAGTCTCGTCCACAACCTCCAGCGTGTGGCTGACGGGAGAGCCACGGGCGTACCTTTAAGCACAAGGCGCTGCTTTGGGGGTCGCACTCGACACGGCGCCCCCTCCTGACGCCCTGCACGGACCACCCTGAGTCAAGGTAGGGGCCTGAGAGACGTAGTGGGAAAAGAGGGAGGTATCTTTGAGCGCAGGATACACTCGGGGCGCCGAGACTAGGAAGAGCCAGCACAGAGCGTCCAGACTTATGCCCAGCGCCCACGTGCCAACCCGGAAGGCACGTCCGTGAGGAAGCGCAGCCTTACCCACGCGCTGGGGGGCGGAGACTCCAGAGCGCGACAAGGCCGCGAAGCGGAGACAGGCCGGAGGCAGATCTAGAGGCGGAACCAGGCGAATTGGAGGCGGGGCCTAAGGGAGAGCTCGTTTCTCGCCCCCGCCTCCCACTGCCTTGTGGGAATTGTAGTTCTGGGACTAACCAGGCACTAGACTACATTTCCCGGTGAGGGAGCGTCCCCGACAGGCCACGCGCTAAGGGACGTGTGGCTTTGTTCACGACCTGGTTCGGAACCGGGAAGTGTTTGAAGTCGCCACGAGAGCAGGCTGGGAAGGGTCCTTTTCCTTCCCTAGTTTCCGGCGGCGGGGCTGTACTTGAGGGGGTGGGGCTGACTCTGCCTGCCATTGCCTCGCCGGCCTGCTACCCGGCCTTTTGCCTACGGTAGCTTTTCTCAGGCCCAACCCGGAGTCTGGGCCTTGAGCTACTTCGGGAACAGCCGCTGCCACTAGCAGAAGTGCGGACAACGTCCCTCTCTCGCTGCTTCCAGCCCCCGCCTGCGTCCGAGCCTCCATGGGCCGGACTCGGAAGCCCAACGTCTGCCTCCAGCTGAGCCGCCGGGCGCTTGGCTTCTTCTCACGCGATGCGGGTGTGGTGCAGAGGACCAACCTGGGCATCCTGCGGGTGCTGGTGTGCCAGGTGACCGCCTTCCGGCCGGGAGCAAAGAAACCAGCAGTGGAGCGCAGAGTACCCCCTTCCTCTCGGGGTGCAGTTTTGAATGCGCTTAGTGCCCCGTTGTAAAGAATCGCTTGGGGTGGGGAGGGGAATACATGCCCTGAACCTGGGTGATTTGTTAGTAGCTAATTACGATCCTTTCACTTTTAAGTTCTTACGTCTTCCGGCAATCATTCTAAAAGTTGGTCGCCCCACTTAATAGTAAGTACAGTGTGAGAAAAAAGCGAAAATACAGTCATGTTTTGAGATAAGCATACATGAAGTTACTTTATAAACTGAATTGAGCTATTCAGCTTAAAAAGTCGTGCACAGTAGAGGCTTATGAATCCTTCTCTAAACGTGAATCTATGTATCTTTCAGGAAAGTACCAAGTTTAAGAATGTTTGGACAACCCATTCCAGGTCGCCAATAGCCTATGAGAGAGGAAGAATATATCTTGATAATTATCGGTTCTGTGTTAGCAGGTAATTTTTCATGTGAAATATATATTTTTTTAATTTAATGCTTTTTTAAAAAAAAAAAACTAATTTTTATAGGACTACATGTCTATCAAAACCAGTCTTACTACCATTGAATTGATGCCAATTCATTGTGAGCCTATAGGATAGGGTAGAACTACCTATGTACGCTTCCAAGACAATAACTCTCTATAGGAGTAGAAAAACCCCTTCTTTCTCCATAGAGCCGCTGGGTATTTTAAACTGCTGACCTTGAGGTTAGCAGCCCAATTCGTAACCACTGTGCCACCAGATGTCGACATTAATGCAAATTCACTATATCTACTGTTCAATCTAGTGAATTTTTCACTTTTTAAATAATTACTATTTCTATCTTTTTATTGATATTCCTGATTTGACAAGACAATACCATTGTGCCTTCTTTTACATATTAAATTATAATCAACTTTATAGCCATTCTTACCAAGCTTTTAATGAATTTTATTTAAATGTCTAATTTGCCCCAGGACCATCTTTAGAGATTTTAAATGGTTGTCTTTATATAATTTCTGCCATCTTTCACTGAAGAGCATGACTGCAGAACTCATGCTATCATGTAAAAGTGGGAATCTGGACCTGTTCTTATGTGATGATGTCATTATCATACCCACCAAAATTAGCAACAATTTTAGTATTATTTATTGTCCAGTTTATAGTTTCCCCAATTTAGCAGTGCTCATTTTAATAAAACTTTTTAGAGTAAGTAATAATTGATTGGTGATCTTACAATGAACAGTCCAGTTTTTAACAATGCCCTCTCCTGTCTCAATTTATTTCAACTATCACAGAAGCTAAAAACTTTTGATAAAGTCAGTTCTGGAAAAAGTCTAGCTAATTTGAGGAGTCATAACTAGCCTATAGAATGCAGACATGAACTCTTAGTAAACCAAACTACTTTGCCAATTAAATGAATAACAACCAATCATTTAACTTTCCCTTTTAAGAAATCCCCTAAGGAGGGTGGGGTGGAAAGGGGAACCAATTACAAGGATCTACATATAACCTCCTCCCTGGGGGGTGGACAAAAGAAAAGTGGGTGAAGGGAGCCGTCAGAGAGTGCAAGATATGACAAAATAATAATTTATAAATATCATGGGCTCATGATGGGGGAAGGGAGGGGAAAAATGAGGAGCTGATGCCAGGGGCTTAGGTGGAGAGCAAATGTTTTGAGAATGATGAGGGCAATGAACGTACAAATGTGCTTTACACAATTGATGGATGTATGGATTGTGATAAGAGTTGGAGGAGCCCCTAATAAAATGATTAAAAAAAAAAAAAAAAGAAGAACCAATCCACACTGGGGAAAATAAATCCCTGAATAGTTTGTACCATACACAAGTTGATCAAAACTTTAATGTGATGAGCTCATCTGCTTAGAGCAGGGGTATTCTGTTCTGGCTTTTGTTTTGTTTTTTTTCCCAACCAATTAAACATTTTAGCTCAAATTGATGATTTCTTGGTTAGATTTTTTTTTTCTGACAAAATTATCTTAAGTTGCATGTTTTCAGCGTTCCACACGGAGGTGTTTATTCCAGAGGTTAAAATTACATGTGAGACTGCTCTGTTTCCTTGTGAAGTTCTTTTTGGTGTAAACCTTTGAATCAGTGAAAGAATATTAAAGGTGAATAGAAGTGACCCCTGAAAAGTGTATCTCTTTCAATAGTATTTTGTTTTCAAAATACCCAAAAACCTAACTCACTGCTATCGAATTGATACTGACTCATAGCAACCCTATAGAACAGAGTAGAACTGCCTCTGTGTTTCTGAAGTTATAACTCTTTATGAGAGTAGAAACTTTCATCTTTCTCACCAGGAGTGGCTGGCTGGTGGTTTCGAACTGCTGCCCTTGAGATTAAGCAGCCTAGCACATAATCCACTATGCCACCAGGGATCCAATATAGCAGCTGAAAAAAAAAAACAACAAAAAACCCAAGACATCCATGTAGCAATCTAAGAAATGTAAATTAAAAGTAAGATATTATTCTTTATATCAAAGTAAATACAATATTGAGCCCCTTTTTGATCCAAAAAGTTTCAGTTTAAAAATAATGGAAACATAGTATATGAAATCTATGAAATTCTATAGAGATATACTACAACTCAAAGGTAAAGAAAGAATGCAGTATGATCCAATTTTGGAAAATGTTCAGTTGGTATTTGCATATAATGAAAAACTGGAAAGAAATGCACCAAAGGGTCAATAAGTGGTTATTTTTAGTAGTTTCATAATGTTATCAACTATTTTAATATAGTTTTTAAGTGTCCTCCCTCATGATATATAAAGTAAATTATGAGGTTAAAAAAACTTTATATTTAGTTAAGAGAAAAGAAAAATAAATTGTCTTTTGGTATTTGAAATCTCTGACTAGAAAAAAAACATATACTCATACCTGAGATAATACTTTTTTGGTCATCAAGAATAATCCCTTCCTTTCCTCCTTTCTTTAGTGTTGCAGCAAAGCCAAGAAGACTTTACGAAATGCCAAAATGTTCCAAATCAGAAAAAATAGAGGATGCTTTATTATGGGAATGTCCAGTGGTAAGATTTGCTTCTAGAGCAGTTTTTGCTTCAAAGTGGTGACTATTAATAAAGTCAGTAAAAGAACAAAATGGAAATATAATGACTTTTGAATTTTTCAAGAAATCAAGAACACATATCTTTTGTCCTGGTTCTTGAAGAAGGTCTTACGCTCCATGTGTGTGACCAGTCATCCATTATGGCCCAGAAACTCAATGGCTCATTTTTTGGAGACCATCTTTTGATTATCATTATTCCTCTTGAAATAGTTTTTATCGTAAGGGACTATGTATCAGCATAAAGAATATATTTTGAAAATTAGATGACATTTTAAAATTCAAACACTAGAAAATGTGAAAATCTGATTTATAACTTGATGTATTACATATCACAGTGAGGACAAAAAAATGATAAAATGTAGACACCTAGTTTTCAGTGTTTAAAAAGGAACCTTCTATGAGGATAGAGTTCATCTCTGAAATAAAGGCAGCAGCTCTAAGAAACTAATTTTATGTAAAAACAAGGGTCTTTAAAAAAGATTTTAATAGTAGATTCAAAGTATAGCCTTTACCTTTAAGTATTATTTTGACTTATGTCATAGTGTTCCATTTTTCCTAAAGAACCACCATATTAATTCAAAGGCCTGATTAATTTGCTGCAACATTTCTCAGACCACTAATCCCACAGATAACTAATAATCCTCATAAATGGAAGTTTTGTGATCTAAATTATTTGGAAAATATGACAGTCACCATCCACAGCAGTGTATTAAACATTCTATAAAATATTTGCTGAATTTTTTAAACTCAGCATGTCCTGCACTTATTTTTCCACTGCCCTTTGATTTCTCCCAACTCCTCTAGCAAGTATATATATGATACCATCCCATAAAAGTACTGTACTGAAAAATGCACACCGAAGCAATGATCTGATGAACTCTCAACCTTTTAAATCCATTCAATTAAGAGTGAAAACAACAAATTTCTTAATTGAGCAAAGCTTTTAAGACATCGGATCAAAACACTAAAGATTTGAGCAGACCTGCAAAAATAAAATTTCTAGTCACCTAATTCCTATAATCACTTCTTTATAAACATTTTGTTCTCTTCTGAAATGAAGCAAGATTTTCCACTTTAAAAAAAGCATATTATTGCTAACATAGCAATGTTAAACCACTTTTAAATTAGTAACTCACTTTGATTTCAGAAAATAGTTCACAGCCATTATATATGCTGCTTCAATGCTGCCCTCTTTTAAAAGGCAAGGTATAATGAGTACATTCTTTTTAAAACTTTAATATATCCCTGAAAGTGTGTAGATAAGATGCCATAGAATGACTGTATTTCCTTCACTACCTGTAAACACATTATAAGACCCACTTGTCGATTCTGACTCAGCAACGCTGTGGGATGGACGACAGCACTGCCCCTTAGGGTTTCTGAGATGGTGGATCTGTACAGGAGCGGCTGGCCTCATCTTTCCCATGGAGTGGCTGATGGATTCGAACCACCAACACTTAACCTACTGTGCCACCTGGGGTCCTCATTGTAAGACAGTAGTTAGTAAGCTTAAAAACAAGAAAAATTGCCTGGATTTCTTTCCCTAAATTTAAAGGAAAGACAAATGTTTCATTCCTTCTGTTCATTTGTTTAGCCTAAGAAAACCCTAGATTAATTTTAGCTTCTCGACTTTTCTCTTGGATCTACCCTTTTATTCCAAAATCGAAGTGGAACTTTTGGCTTCTCTTTTTCCTCCTGCCTTGGACTTCCACCTTGTGGTGGCTCCTCGGTGGTAGGAGCACCCAAGCAGCTGTCCTCTGCCTTTCTGGGGAGTAGCTCACCGATGACACAGGCTGTCTCTCCATCGGACCAGGCCCATTCTTCTGCTCCAGTTTGGCTGTGTTGGTTCTGGATTCCAGGTTTTCTTTGGAGGTTGAAGAACCAGTGTAAATAATGGGGCAATTTGTACTTTTGCCATTTTAACTCCCATCGATAGGAAAATGAGTCATGAAGTAAAGAACAAATGAAACTGTTCTAGGAGATGATTTTAACTGCCAGGCTTTTTATACCTGGTGTTATGGAACTGTTTTTGTTATCCACAACAGCCGCATTAATGCACCCACTATGGTAAAACAACTACAGTTGACTGTTTAATATTAAATTATAATAATAATTATAACTTAACAGCAATAATAAGAAATTAGTTCAGACAGTATACAGACATTGTTGAATATTTTGTGCATAAATTATTTTAATTTATTATTAAAATAATTGTCCCCAATTTATCTTGCCTTGTCTTCTTTATTTGTGCATTTAATATTACTTCTTTGGTTTATTTATTCATATGGCTATTTAAACGGTTAGCTCTTTTCTCTGGACATTGATTGCTGTAAATTGTTCCTGCCTTGTGGTTTTGTTTTTATTTTATTTTTTTTTTAAGGGAGAAATACTTCCCAGTCCATCAGATTATAAATCCTCACTCATTGCCTTGACTGCTCATAATTGGCTGCATCGGATATCTACAACTACTGGAAAAGTCCTTGAGAAGATATATCTTGCTTCCTATTGCAATTTCAGGTATTAAGACTTTATTGTTAAAATTTGAATCCAAGGAACTATATAGTTCTTTTCAGTTCTTTTAGTGTACACTGAGAGCCAGGTTTATAAATCTGCCCTCTTTTTCTCCCCTCATAACCACTTGAAGATACGAGGATAGAGATCTTGTATCACTTTGTAGGTCCCTCATAAGTTCCTAACCTGTAGTAGTTTCCAGATTGAAAAAAAAATTGTTTAATTCTCTTGTGTTTCCCGTTCTACAAATAGTATTGTATAGATGGGATACATTTTTGCTAGATTTTCCTGAAGACTAGTCTCTTAGCTAAAATATGCCTAGTACAATCATAACTTTAATAACTATTAGCGTAGTAAGTTACAGGTAAATTTTTGGAGTGAATGTACACACATTTGTCTTAGTCTCTTGGACTGCCTTTAAAAAAAAAAAGTTTCAGTCAAAACAGTGGCTTCCAAGTTTGGGCCAATTAAATCCAAGGCCGAGAAGCCAGCTCAGAGGGTTCTGATTGGTTTTTTTTTTTAAGTTCCAACTGGATAATCTTGATAGCGTTTCAAAAAAGGATACAAAATTACCATGAGTGCTTATTATGAAGAAGTATTAAGAAAATTGGAAATTCCATTGGCAAGGAAAATAAAGACATTTTTTTCAAACCCATCTCTATACCTGCTTATTCTTTGAGGGCACCAGAGGTTGTCTGTCTTACAAGGATTTTGGTAGGCGTCCTAACCATACCTACCCTACAGGTCCAAACCTGTCCTTTCCGACTTCTTTCTTATTCAAACGCTAAGAATGTTGAAAAGAAACATGTTTTGAGTCCCTCAAGGGTACTCAAACTGCCATTTTGATGAAGACGAGATCCCAGAATTCTTTGGGGCTAAAAAGCCACAAAACTCACTGCCATAGAATTAATGCTTACAATGACATGATGCAACTGAGTAGAACTGCTTCTTGGGCTTTCCAAAACGGTTTCTCTTTATGGGAGCATACAGCCTCATTGTTTTCCTTTAGAGCAGCTGGTGGATTTGAACTGCTGTTGTTGCAGTGAGCAGCCCATCACTTAACCTTAGAGGAATGGAAACACCGCCTTCAGAAGTGTGTAGTCCTAGATGCAGGATATATCAAGAATCAGTCATTTCTTATTTTGGCATTTTTGTTTAAAAAAGGTTTCTATGATTTTGTAACTAGCAAAACTTTTTGCCTTGCTCTTAAATAGTATATAAAACCCATTGTTGTTGGATTGACTCCAACTCAGTGACCTTATAGAACAGGGTAGAACTAATCCATAGGGTTTCCAAGGCTGTAAGTTTTCTATAAAAACTGCAGACTGCTGCAACTTTATCCAGCAGTAGCTGGTAGATTTGAACTCTTGAACGTTTGGTTAGGAGCTAAGCGTCCAAGGCTCCTTGGCACAGTGGTGAAGTGCATAACTGCTAACCAAAATGTCAGTGGTCTTAATCTAGCCATGAGAGAAAGATCACCATCCTAGAAACCCTATAGGGCAGCCCTCCTCTTGTCTTATAGTGAGTCAAATTCACTCGATGGCATTGGGTTATGCATCTTAAGGGTTTCGTGTTATATGTCTTACCCAATTATAGGGATTTAAAGGAACTTCTTCAAGCTTTTCATTGATTGATGGATTAATAAATAAACTTCATTGCTTTTATAACTTAGGTAATTAAAAATTTAATTGTAAAATATTCTTCATACTTTGATTTATAAGTGTAGGTAAAGTGATCTAAATGAGTAAAGTTGGCACCTTTTATTTTGAAAGGTACTTGAACTGGGACACTCCCCAAGAAGTCATTACTATCAAGTCAGCTCAGATCAAAGTCTCAGCAGTGGCCCGCCAGGTACTAACCTTTAAGCATTTAATTAAAGGAAGACTGACCTTGTGTCCTTAGAAATTTGTCTATAAATTTGTTACTAAGGAACTGATCATGTTTGATTGCTGAAGCATGGTGTGGAGGTTGGTAGGTAGTTTCTTTCACTCTTTTTCTTTCAAGAGTTACCTAAGATTTTCTTGACTTTAAAATTAGTCTAGTTCTTTAACTGTATGAGTATATAGCAAGTAATTTTTTTCTTGGTGGTGACCTTAAAATAGAAAAAAACACATTGAGCATTTTTTTTCTTTTTTAGATAGAGACTCTGCCCTTAGATTTTTCCTCTTTGTAGCCCTAGGCATCTAGAAAAACAAAATAGCTTACTTGCTATCTCACCTTGGCAGTTTACTTGTAATTGAACGACGTCAGGTTTTTCTCACCAGTGTCCATTACGAAAAAATAATCAAGCACTGATCTGCTTGCTTTACAGGCACCAACTCATTCAATCCTCAGTACAACTCTTAGGGTAGGTAGTATTCATGTTCAATTTTATAAAGAAGGAATTGGGAACCACACAGGTAGAATAACTTAATCCAAAGGCATAGTGCTATAAGTGGGAGAACCTGGACTCGACTTCAGTGTCCCTGCTCTTATACACACACCATACTACCTCTTCTAGAAATCCAGTTCTTGTAACACTGACTGGCAAGTAAAGTTCATATACAATTTTAGGATTCCTCTTTAACAATTAAGGAGTTTCTCTAACTTACCCTTACATAGATTGCAGCACCCATCATTCCCTTGCTAACCCCCATTGTACCCCCTCATGCTCTGTGCCAAGCTAGCGTGCCTCTTGACTGAAAACTGTGCTTTTCATTCTCTCTTCTCTCTTGACTTCTTCTGGATGGAGTAAATTATTAGTTGGCCGCTTAACATTTGTTTGGGAGTTTGTTTTGGCAATTAAAAAGTATTTTATTTCTTTAACTTTTCATTGTAAACATTCTGGGTGGGTATTATAGTCTTGGGTTTTTTGTTTTGTTTTTAAATTTTCTGCTGAACTCACATTCCAACATTTTTCTTAACCAACAATGTCTTGTCAGAAATTTTCCAGTATTTATCTCCTCCACAAAGCCCCTCTGAACTGACTACCTACATTAGATTTCTCTTGCTGTTATAACGGATGACTACAAACTCAGTGCCTAAAAACAATTATTTTTAACAAGACTTCTTTTCACAGCTTTGGGGAAAATTCTTTTCTTTGCCTTATATAGCTTCCAGAAACCACCCACACTCCTTAATGCTCTTCCATCTTCAGATTAGCAGTGTGAGATATCACTGGCTTTTCTCAGATTGTCACATTTCCCTCTAACACTCTTCTACTGTCCCCTTTGACTTTTTAAGGATCCTTGTAATTTTAATGTGACCAGTTAGGTAACCAAGAAATATGGTTGGATGTCAACCAGTTCTTTTTGGTATAGTGACTGTATCCACGCCATCTTCTTTTGATGCTTTCTGAGTCCTTCAAGATTTTGCTCATAGAAACCTTCAGAATTTAAACTCCAGGCTTGAATTTTTTTCTTTATTTCAGCTCTAGATCTGCAGAGTATATTTTTAAAAAACTATTTCATGCATCCTATATAAAACCTTTCATCACATTAATTATTCATCACATTAATTAGATGATAGCTTCTCACCCTTTTATCCTAAGACAATCTAAGAAAAAAAGTATGAATGCGATTTATTAAGTATGAAAATCTTAGAGAAACAGACTGACCTGGCCGTTCCCTCTTAATAATACTTGACTCCTTATTCTCTCACCCATTATGTTGCCCTCTCCACTTGTGAGAGAAACCTCACAGCCAGCAAAATAATAAAACAAAGCAGTCAAACATTTTCGGAGAATTAATTTTGAGTGTCTTGTCTCATTTGCCTTTCTTGAAGAATGTAGATTCCTAAAGAGCAAGAACTCTAACCTACCTCTATTCCAACCAACCTATGGAGCACCATTATTATCATTTGGATGAGCAAAGTTAACCAACTTAGCTACTAACAAAAATGGCCTAGGAATCTACTTTCAGAAACAGCATTGAAAACCCTGTGCAGCAGAGTACTGTTTGGGCCCATGTAGGCTTGCTGTGAAGTCAGAGTTGACCATGACAACTGGTTTTAATGTTAGTACAAGGCTTGTGGGTATCTCGGCATCCTAGACTATGTTTTCCAACAGTCTCCAACTGATTACTAACTCTTGGTTAGGATATACAAACTATCTTTCATCTGGGTTTTAGGAGAATGTAAGGAGTCTAATTTACACCATGAAGATCTTGGCTCAGTCAAAATTCACCCCCTTTGAAGAGAATCTTTTGAGCTTTAACCATGAGAGTGCTTTTGTTTGTTTTCTGACTTTTAGTTATAGCCATATTGGTTGTGGTCTTGATGGCCCAAACCTCTAGGCTTCTCTGGAAGCAGTCAGGCTGTAGCAGGCACCCTTCATACTACAAATGTAAGAAATATCTTTAAAGCCATTCTGGAGAAGTACAACAGATTATTTAACGTTTCAGATGGGAAAGAACTTGACTGGGCCTTGCTCTTCAAAGTAAGGGAGCTTTCCTCTCCACATAGAGAAAACACTGAAGTTTTCGTTGCTGTTTTTTCATTAATTTTTCTCATTTTACATGGACATGCTGTTCATGCTGCTGCGATGCTACTGTCTATCAGATGATCTGAGCACCATGACTCCCTGTCTTTTCATTAGGTGCTTTATTGATATTGTTTGAGCACCAGTTTACAATAGGCATTTTGTTGCTAAGAAACGTTTACTGTTATGTTTGCTTTTGTAGGCTGTATGTGTGTGTGCACACGCATGCCCCTGTATGGCTGATGGCTTAGTGAGTGCATTTTGAACATGTGTGCCTTCCTGCAATCCAAATGATGGATGTTTTTAATTCATGAGATCCTCTATATCACTACATGTGAGGACAGATGGCTATTTTCAACTCATTAAAAGAGTGTTTTGATGGACTTTTCAGAGCCACCTGCAATTTTAATCTTTTCTTCTAGGCCGGCATTCAACAGTCTGTATTGCTATACCTTGCCGTGTTTCGTGTTCTCCCCTTTTCACTCATTGGGGTTTTGGAGATCAACAAAAAAGTAAGAGCTTGCTTCTATGTTAAATACATCATTTATTTTATTGACAATATGGTAATATCATTATTTAATTATTTGTGTATTGGGAATGTGTCCTGACCATAAAAAGTATGCTGACCTGGCTTATCGTAGAAAAAAATGGTTTAGGAAGAGCATGTGCTCCTCAGCAGCGTTGCGCTTGTTTTTATGCTTCTCCGGATAGTGTGGATTATCTGTGGTCACGAACAAACAGTTTTAGAAAATCACAAGTGAGTAAGGTGTTTGTTTTTGTTTTTTTAGAAAGCATGTGGCAAAGCTTGTTAGAATGATTATTCAGGAAAAATGAAAAGCTGATAATTTTAGTGATAAGATATAGGTTCAAACCTGGTTTATGATATATAAATAAGCCTTTTAATTAATGTGAACATTTTCCAAGTTTGGGATTTTTTTTGTTGCCATGTTGTTGATTTTTAAAAAGGGATAAATTTCCTTGAATAAAAATAAACCAATAGTTTTCTAATTTCGTTTTATAACTTGTTACTTACTCTGGCAAATAGTTATTGATTTCATTAGTCTTTTATTAAGCATACAAAATATTCTAGAGGACAAGCTCTTGATTGTCCCGTAATGCTCATTAGCAAACAAAATGAAGGTAGTAAAACTTGCTAATGTGAAATAATCATCCAATACTAAACTGAAGAAAGATTAAAGAGTAATGTTAGCCATCATTGTTATTTGTACTGGGCCAGACACTGTATACGTCTTTTAAAGCCCTGTCACGTAACTCACTCAATTAGGAAGATAAGCAACTATTCCAATCCTGAAGATAGTAAGAGCTGAAATTTGAACCCAGGGTGACTACTTTATCATATAGCGTCCATTACACAAATCCTTTTTTTCACAGTAGGAAACCAGGATCTGTGAATGAGCTAGTCCTGAACCAGTTAAGATCAAAGCAAATCATAGTTATTCTTCTAAAAGATGCCCAAGAGAGAGAGAAACGATTTCTCTCTGTGCTTGTGAATTAAGTATTTGGGTATACGTACTACATGCTACAGCAGGAAGGAACACTTAACCAAGTCATGATTGTTTCTGTGTACTCTTACATGCCCAAGGTAATCATTTGAGGGATTTTACTCTGATTACGGTTACTAATTGAAGCACAGCTTTCACTTAGTGTATATAATAGTGGCTGGTTTTAGAATGCAGTAAGCTATTGATTGAGACAATAAGTCTTCAATAAATAAAAAATGTGTCTTCAGTAGAAATAGAAATAGATTTTTAATTCATTCTCAGTTCATTCATTGCTGTGGATATTTGTCTGTTGGTGTTTGTTAAATATTAAGATTGGCACAGAATCAGTTCTTTATCTGAACTCAAGAGAGACTCCCAACGGGATCCAGCGCATAGCCCTGAAACAGTAAAGGGCCAGACAGGGAGTGAGCGAGTCCCTTCCTTGAGCTCTGCTGGGTGCCTGCTTTTTCAAAAAAGTGATTTTTATAAGACTAATGACAATATTCAGGAAGAGGGTCGTGATAAAATTCTGGAGTTAGCCTTTTCCTTGATCCAATCTTTTCACCTTTAAATTAGATAAAAATGATGTCAGTACTTAAAGAAATGTTAGCATGAAGAATGAATCCCTCGTATGATACGTGTAGTAGAGTAAGTATTCATTTAGAACTCAATGGACTCGGCATACTGCTGTGTCCATGAGGAATAGGGTGGTATTGATGGATATTGGCAAAGCCCTGAAGGAGATAAGCGAGTGAATACAGTCTCCTTTTTGACGAATCTGTGCTACTTTCCCGTTTGTGTGCCAACCAGAAATTCCAGTGGCTCCTTGCTTACCACTAATAACACCCTAGTCTCTAGTTGCTAAATTAAACTAACGTTATAAGGCTAGGCACCAAGGTCATAGAGGTGACCTGAAAATGAAGCAGTATCACAAGCACCGAGAACAGTCAGGATTGGCCTTCGGGTCTTTTCTCAGGTGATATCTACCTTTCCCCCCAGATTTTCGGGAACGTTACAGATGCTACCTTGTCTCATGGAATACTGATTTTGATGTACAGCTCAGGACTGGTCAGACTCTATAGCTTCCAAGCCATCACCGAACAGGTAGAGAAAACAAAAATTTGTTATACTATAACTAAGTTGAGTTTGGGGCTGAGAACGAATTTTCAGTGATTTGCTTTTAGAGCCTGATGCTTATTTTGTATATTTCAGCTCTATAAAACTGTACAAATGTAGAAAAACAAAGTAACTTTTAAGAGAGACCTTGAGAAGATAAGCAAAAAAGCCTTTGGACAAATAAAGACATTTTCTCCCTCATACAAGTAGACAAATGTAACTCAACAAGTACTGCTACTGGGATTCCAGTGCGTGCATGCACGGTTTATTCTGAACAAAGCACATGCTTCAATGTGTCTCTAAGATTAGTGGTGTGGTTGGTTGCAGACAAGTCCTTTCAGTAACATACTTGTCTTGGTCTCATTAGTGTACCTTCAACAAAAAGATCCAATCAAAACAGTGCCTTCTGAAGGGATCTAAGCCAGTTCAATTCAAGGGAAAAGTCTGCTCAGGAAGTTATGGTGACTGTTTTGGGGGGATTCTAAAAAATCTATCTTAATTTTTCTCAAAGGACGCAGGATGATCATGGGGGCTTATTATGAACAAGTTTTAAGGAAATCGAAAACTGCATTGGTAAGAAAAAGGCCAAGAGAGTTGTGCCCAGGAAATTTTTCCCCCATCTTGTCAGTGTACCTGTTCATTCTTTGGGAGTAGGAAGAGCTTTCCTACAAGATTGTCATGGGCAGCCATACCCTAGCCACCAACAGCTCGGATCTTGCTCCTGCACACTTATTTTTGTTACCAGAACTCATTTACACTGAACATGCTCGGAGGCCCTTGGGGATGGCAAAACTGCTTTGGGGATGTGGTGTAAATCAACGAGCTCTGAATTCTTTGGAGGAAAGGATTAGAGAAATGAAAGCGCACTTTCAGGAAAGTATAGACTTAGATGAAGGTTATGTCGCATTTTGATATTTTTGTTTAATAATGGTTTCTGTATTTCGTAACAATACTTCTTGACTTAGCCTCATATGTGTGAATTTGCTTCTTTTTTTTTTCTTTTCTCTCCAGAACAGCAAATAAGCAGGTGCTAAAGCCACCATTTGTGTTTTGTTTTGTTTTTAGTTCATGCAACAGAAACTTGACTTAGGGTGTGCATGCAGATGGGGTGGGACTACTGGAACTGTAGGAGAGGCTCCTTTTGGCATTCCTTGTAATATTAAAGTCACAGGTATGGCTACTATATAGTATCTTTTTACCTTCAAAAAATAAGTGGTCATATGAATGGTTACCTAATATATTCACCAAAATGTTTTTCTTATAATTGTGCATCAATTTATTTTACCTTTAATACAGCAGATTCCTTTCTATCTAATAGATATCAACAAAAATCTGTAGATTGTGCAATGAACTCAGTTTGAACTGGCGACCTTGCAGTTAGCAGCCCAATGCCATACGCACAGTGCTACCAAGGCTCCTTATGGTTATTATTCTTCATGATTCTCAAATTGACCCAAATTAGAACAGTGGGAACTTCATCAAGTAGGTCATTTGGACATATCCGAATAATCTGTAAACTTCTTTTCCTAAGTTTTCTGGGACAAGAATCTCTCTCAGGTTTGCCTTGTATTTTCCTTGTCCCATATCCATCATGGAGCCTTGTTAGTAGAGAATGACATTAGAGACAATGCGTGGCTGGCTGTACTCATTTACGTCTAGTCCCTTTCAATAAACGGCTGAGAAATACATTAGAACAAAAATTCTAGTTCTTTATCATATTTCAAATATAACCGTTTGTTTACTTTATTTTTTTATTTCTTAATATTGCTAATTTTGACAATCTAGTCCCAGCAACTTTTATTAATCTTTTAACCTATAATTCAGAATTTCAATTCCAGTGTTACTACTGAAAACAAGTCTGGAGTGAGGTTAAGATTTTGCTTCAGTTCCTTTGGTCTTTTAAGTGTACAATCAGTGTAATAATATGGTCAGTGTACTTGAAATCATTTTTCTGTGTAATTACCAGTTTGTTGTGATTAGAATTATTTGTTTCCACTTATTTTCAGCTTTGGGGTTTGCTTTCCTTTTTAATTTTGTTTTCAAAATTGTAAAATGTGTGTGTAGTTAAAAATTCAAAACTATAGGCAGTCCCTGGGTTTCAAATGAAGGTGGTCCCTACATATGTCTGTAAGCTGTATTTGTAAGTGAGTCAGACAGGTGCAAAAAATTCTTATTTTGCCTTATTTTAGGAGCCTTGGTGGTATAGTTGGTTATTTGTGGGGCTGCTGACTACAATGTCAGCAGTTTGAATACACCGGCCTTTATACAGGTCAAAGATGAGGCTATTACTCCCAGAAAGATATACAGTAATTTGCCCATTTTTCTATTATGGTGTTCATATTTTTCTTATTACTTAAAAAATACCTCTTTTGGGGAATGGTGTTAACAACCCAGGGACAAGGGAGCAACAAGTGATCCAAAATCGGTGTTGAGTAGGGTATAAGAGGCCTGGTAGGGCTTGATCAAGGACAATGTAACCATGAGGAATTACTGAAACCCAAATGAAGGCTGAGCATGATAGTGGGACAAGAGGAAAGTAAAAGGAAATAGAGGAAAACACCAGGCAGCAAAGGGCATTTATAGAGGTCTAAAGACAGGCATGTACATATGTAAATATATGATGATGGGGATATAGATATATGTGCGTATATTTATAGGTTTAGTTATTAAGGTAGCAGATGGGCATTGGGCCTCCACTCAAGTACTCCCTCAATGCAAGAACACTTTGTTTTATTAAACTGGCATTCCATGATGCTCACC